CATATCAAAAGCCAAATAAAGGTTTTTAAATGAATACAGGTAACGATATTATCCTTTTCTTTTCAGGAAATCTTACTTACGTCACTTCTGTTCCAGAAACAGACCTCAGTGGAAAGTTAGTCTCAAATTAGGTAGCAGATTGTTCTCAATATCAAGAAATCTCCATGTAATTCCTTTCCTACTTTTCACAGCACCTAGCAGCCAAAGACTTCTTGTTCAGAACACGATGCAAATCATAGCATTTGAGACTTATTACACGCAAATGTAGATACTCCATAATCATCAGCACTCCCTATGGTAGTTTCAGCATTATTTTATGGCTGAGGAAGGTGTACTCAGATTACTCCTCAGGCAGGCACAGAAAAGCCAGAAGACATTCCATTTCCCAGTTCAGAGGTAGAACATTTGACTGCTCCCTGACGCTGACTCTGCATACAGGTGACTGAGTCTGTGCTAATGGCAGGCATTAGGCACTGTTACTCTCTGGTTCAGACTTCAGAAATTCTAATGAAGTATTTTTGTTTAATCATTACCCGGAAAATGTGTCAGATTCGCAGACAAACCAACAATAATACTCTTCCATAGTCACCAAAGATTTAATTTACAGCAAATGAGTACTACTCTGCATCACCATTCAGAAACGTTAAATACACTCAAGTGACTGACAAAGAAGAGCATTATTTGTTCTTTCCAAAATCATATATTCACCCCAAGAGGTAAGCTGCACCGGACATGTCTGGTGCCATGCTTACAGTAATAATTTATTTGCCATGTCATCCCTGGCAGGGTCTTCCTGATGTTCATTTATTATCCCAGTAAGCTCTACCACCAACTGTTCTGGGCACACTCAACAACCCTTGTTACTTTCAAGGCACATTACATACATAACTAAATTTACTAAACAAAAATAACTGGCTATACCTTTAACTTGCAAAGTAATAAAAAAAACAGAACGTGAAAATAGCTAAATATTACTCACAACAAAAAAAATCTGCTTATTTATAGTTTTCACCTATGTCACACCATTATTCATATTGTTATGAGTACCCAGCAGGACTCGAAAGGTCTTCCCTCTGGCAAACATCCCTGTATTAGAGAACACTTGTTAAAAAATAATTCTCTTTTTTGTTTAAAATGAAACATTTTAGGTACTGTTATTCATTACACCATTCTCAAAATAAATCACACAGTACAAAATGTTTTACCCCCTAAGAGAAAATGACAGCAACTGAGACTTTCATTAGCATTAGTTCCCAAACAACTAATAAAGAAACAATTCTTCAAATCAGCTTACATCCAGTGAAATAGCAGTCATTATCTTCCACAGCAAGTCCAACTTTTAGCACAGCATGGATGTTTTAGATATAAGTATCTGCAGGATAACGAAACAGTACAACAAATGAAAAGCCAGCCTTCCTAAACACCAGATATTCAGGTTGGACTACTCATGCCTTTTAGTATTTATGGACAAAGTCTCTAGTAAGAGGACAGAATGCCAGAAGAACGACTGCAGCAAGAATGACTTGGGTTGAAAAGGCCATCTCAGTACCCTCTGGTTCAGCTCTCTACTGCAAGGGAGGCTGCCTTGGACATATGCCCAAAGTCAGCTTTGGCTGAAGCCCTCTTGGAATGTCATCCACTTCTCTGAGCAACCAACGGCAGTGAGCTCTCCCCCAACCCCCAGCAACTTTCAATACTTTGCTTCAAAGAAAAGAACTTGTTTTTCTTTTCCCCTTTGCACCTACAGCAAAAGCCTGATCCTCCTCCACCAGCTCTTGATCAAACTGGATTTAACAGCCAGCAAAACAACGATGTTGATTTCCAACTTAAAGAGCAGTGTCACCAGCTATGTGATTTCACTTCTCATTTCCCCATGTTACCATAGTTACAGTCATTTATACAGCACAATAGTTTACCACACCCATACTCATATTTATAAATCTCAACCTTTTCAGTAATTGCATCCAACTTTCTCCCTAAGCCTCTGCTTCTTCTTGACTCTCTGCTCTCCTGCTCTTTGTTCAACCCATGCTTTAAGCCATCACTACAAAGCAAAGCTTACAAAGAAACGTTAAATCCTGTGAAGGAATAACAAAAAATATTACAGAAGTGGCATAACTCCATTGCAGCTCTCCAGGCTAAATCTGAACAGGTTTTAGTCATAAACGGAAAACAAAACAACTGGACAGCTAAAAATCATTACTTAATGACATGCAGCTGACCCCTCACAGCCCAAAGCCCAACAGTCACCGAGCTACTGACTACTTTTGGCACCTGATGAAACTCTCCCCAGGACTAAAAACTGATGTTGACAATGCTCCACTCACCTTTCAGAAGGAGAAGCAGCTACAAAACAAAACTGAAACAAAGAAAAAAACCCAGCACTTCATCATAAACTTCCCATCCTTACTGAATGAAAACAAACCACAACGAGTTCCTAATAGGCATCAGGACTGGATGCCATCAATACCCAGAAGGAAAACATTTTAAACCTTTCTGTCTTTGTGTGTCTGTAATAGAAATATTAACTGTAGTAGCATACAAGCATTAAAGCTTTACAGCAAAAAAAAATAATAATAATAATAATTGGTTAGATACAAAAAAATATTTCATCATATTTCATTCTGTTTCAAACTCAGCAACAGTACCTGGCTCTCAAATAACTTTATCACGAAGAACTAAAGTGAATTCCAAGCAAAGGTCCTGCAGCGTGACAGAACACCCATAACATTTGTTTCAACAAACACCACACATTCATACACAAAAACACTACTGCAGATGATACCCAAGCATTAAAAACCGAGCTTAAACCATAACAAAGCCCTATAACACTGTGTAACCTACTTATACATGCATTTTTGCATGCCAAATCTTTTTATGGGGAAACAGGATAAACTTCACGTAACTGAAATCTGAACAGCTTGAATTATTAGTCCAGATCAAATGACTGCAGAAAAGAAATAAAGAAATGAACAGTAGCACGTGTTCAAAAAATCTTAATAGTAGTAACAGTTAATATTAGTGCATACTTTCTATTGTCTCACTCCTTTTCCTGACCTTACATTTCCTCACCTGCTTCATTAGATCTTAAGGCTCACAGATGGTTTTAGCCAATGGTGTAGAGCAAGTCATCAGCATCCCAAGGCCAAACATGATGACAAAGGCTTCCTCACTCTACCATCCACTTGGAATCACTTCCAAATTTGCTCACGCAGTTGTAACACATTGCTCTTTTCTCATCTGTCTGCACATACACAGAGATGTAATTTTGCTGTACATGGTGCATTTCCTGTTATATTTGTTTGTTCTCTTCCAAACTGATTCTGTCCAGAGCCAAGGCTGAACTGCCTCAAGAGCAGTTTGCAATCTATGGCCTTCCACTGCCAGCCTGTGCTCTCTGTTGATACCTTATGTACTCCTCAATACTGCATTCTGCAAGCACATCTCAAAGCCTTTCCTAGAACAAAAGAACTGTACTCCATTAGTATAAATACCCCATTCTACACAAAATAAATACTTGTTGCTACTAGCTACACTAAAAGTGTGATACAGTACAATTAAGAGTACATAAAGCATTATTTCCATCCATTAACAATTTGCTTTTATAGCTACACAAAGTAAAAAATAAAATTCCAGCTGAGTTAATTCAATCTCAGATAAACCAAACCTGATGTAACCTGCAGCTATATTGAGAACCAAATACAAGGCTTAACACCTGTAACTCCCAATAGCAATACTTGGGTTATAACTTAGAAATTCACCTCCTCCATCCCTCACAGAATGTATGCATTTACAATAAATGAATACTAGAGAGTCTTAGTACAAAAAACCTGCAAGAACCAAACTACCAAATGTTCTGAAAAAGAATTTAATGCTGCTGTGTATATAGATCTTTCCTTCTGTTTACTATCAATCATGCTTGATATCTATGCAGCCTTCTCAGTTGAAGGCCCATGAAACAAATTTTAGAGAACTGATTTCAGTAAATAAATTATGAATTAGAATTTAATTCCAGATTTAACAGCCTCTTTATATGACAGTACCTCATCTACACGTTAAGGTTTTGCTTCACTCTTATTTGAAATTACAAATAAAAAACAATACCTGCAGAGCTTAATTAGCCTTTAAATATGTATCCAAAGAACCTAATGAGGCCAGAGAGTCTGAGAAAAAAAAAAACAAAACCACTGGCTGCACAAGACTAAGCACTCTGTTCCATTCTATAACTATTAATATTTTCAGAGTGAAAAAAGCCACCTTTAAGATCCTGTCACCCCCCATATACACAGTGAAGTTTTCTATTCTAGCCATGCAGTCAAAGAGTCTGCACTTGGAGTCTCTTCCTTAGAGACTAAGAAATTGCAACTGCAGAATTGCAATTCTGGCCAGGAAGAGCTTGGGCTTTGCTTGACAATTCTACCCCCTCCCAGAAGCAAGCTGAAAAAACCTGGTCTATCCAGTGCCACATACCTTTTATGTCCAAAATGCAATCAATGAGGTTCTGAAATGATACACTGTCTCTATAAGGTCTGATGATTTCTTCTTAGAAAGGCTGACAAAAGCCTATATGCATCCATGGGCATTTCTGCACTAGGCATAAAAACAACCTATAGATATTGACACGGCCTTGAATTTTCCCATTCTATGCAGTTACATCCTAATATTGTCCTTATAGCTACTGTAGGATACTAGATCTGACCAAGTAATTTACTGCCTAGTTCAAACTCTGATCTAGCTAATCTAGCTAATTAAAACAGACAATCCAGCTCCATTCTTTCACTTAACATGAAATTAACGAGGTGTCAGAAATTGAGTAGCAGGCATTTATAACTTACATAAACAGAGGTAAATCTGGATTAAAAGGATAAAAGGAAGTAAATCTGCATTTTTATTTTCCTTATAAATAACTTTAAAATTTGCCAAAATAAAAGAGACAGTTTAGTCTTACATCTGTTATACTGCTATGCTATTGAAAACAACACCCGTGATTACCACAAAACAGCAGTTACATAAAATTCTATTTATTACTGAACAGATTTCAACCACTACATAGCAGTCTCCAAAAAATTTTTATTAGTTAGCATCCTAAATTGGTCAAGTTATAAAAATAAACCATTATTTGATAATTGATTATTTTCTACCATACAGTTTCCTTCTTTGAAACAAAAAGAACATAGAAAAAATATTCTGTGGACATCCCACAAAGTATTAAACTCTGCTTTTGTTTCATTCTTGCAGAAAAAAATAACCATCTCCAAAATAAGGAAACACGGCCCAGGCAGCCTGTTCTTCCTCCCTTTAAACAGCAACATTCTATACACATTTATGGAAACTTAGTAAGGCCTGAACTGAGAAGGTTGGCTATCTGGAGGAGGTAGAGGAACTGGCATAAATGGATACAAGTTGTACATGTTTGGGTCTGTGCAAATCATATTTGGATTTGGAGGCGGATGGTGAAACTGATGCATCTCATTCATGGAACCAAACACTGGAGGAGGAAAGGGATACTGTTGCATCATTAGATGTTCTTTTCTATGAGGTTGTGGGAACGGTGGAGACTCCTGGTGTATCCTGCTGTCTGAAGAGTATGGATGTGGTGCTCTAGGAAATCGTGGGGGTCCCGATGGAGAAAGAAATGGATCCCCAGAGAATCTTTGGCCATGGTATCCCCTTGAATAACTTGAAGCAGGCTGTTGCACTGATTGATGAAGTCCTTTATACTCACCTTAAAAATAAAACAAGAACACTTAATATTCTTGAAAGTTTACAGTAATCCTCACAAATCCTTCAAGATTCTCTTTCATCTTCAGAAATGAACACAGATAGGCAGCCTATACTGAGAAATCCACAACTGGGTAGAGACACATCTCCATTAAAATCATGCACAGAGCTGAAGTCAAGGAAGTACGAAGAGTTACCTTCTCAAACATTACTGATAAATAAGATTAAAAAAAAATAACTGACAAGTCCACAGCTTAGTACCTCATCCTGGTCAGCTAAATAAACACAGAAAGAATGATCCTGAGGGTTGCAAATACGGTCATTAAAATGGACATTTCATGTTTTTTCCCACGTGTTTTCCTCTGCATTATCAAATCAAGTGAATACTCAAACCGTAAGTATTTTGAAGCTTCAGTTTAAAACAAGATTTACAAGTAGCACATTCTAAAACTGAAGATAAATCAGTAGTCCTTATTCCATCTTGAGATTTTCAGATTTTCCTTCTGCTGCAAAATGCTTCTTGTCTTTTCATTCTGCTGCAGACTGTTATAGCACTGCTTTTTGTCAGGCTAGACCAGGCTCTGAGCAACCTGATCTAGCTGCAGATGTCCCTGTTCACTGCAGAGGGTTTGGACTAGATGGCCTTTAAGGGTCTCTTCCAACTCAAATGATTCTTTCAATTCTATGATTCTATCACTTAACCAATATAAAGCATCTACATATAAAATTTTCAAGGATGTGAAAGGAAATATGTTAAATTAGAACACATTGTGCATGTCAAAACCTACATGGCTGTAGCATTCTGTCCTTCTGCATAAAGTTATAGCTTAATACTAACTCCTTAAGTAAAATGTCAAAAGTTATCCTTGCAACAAATTACTATTTAAAACATATCTAGGCAGACAGATGCGGCAGACAAAATCATTTACCACCTATCAGGCCTTGCTTCCCACTTTCTGACCTGAGTTGGTATTACAGCATAAGAGACATAAGAAATTATTTCAAGTCAAATTTAATGAAATTAAGAAGTAAATTAATCTTGGGAAAAAAAAAAAAAGAAAAGAGCAGACTGTATGTTAAGCCAACTAATTTTCAGCATTTGTCTTTTCAAGAATTTTCTTCCTATTGAAAGAGTCAAATAAGCATTTATTAAATGTTCATAATAAACGTACTGCTACTTGGTATTCCTGTTCTCTCTCCTCCTAATGAAGGCTCTAACAAGGAGCCAACATTAAGTTTTATGACAACACAACCAAGCTAAACTCCAGCTGTAACTGAGTTTATATTACAACTTGCCAGCTATCCTTGCAGCTGAATTCCACTGCCATAAGTAAACTGCAGACAAGTTTTAAAGCAAGTCATGTACAGAAAAACACAGCTAATCATAACCCATACTCCCTTGATATACTGAGACAGTTCCTCTTCTTGTGCTCTCACTCATGTAAGGTAGTACACTAACAGCCTCAGAAAGCCCTGGGCAAATGCAGCTCTGCAACCAATTTGCAAGATAGGAATGGTGAAAACTACACCAGATTCAATACAGAGAAGCAGAAACCAGGAGAGAAAATAACCATCAGCAATGAAGGGAACAAACTGCGCACAGAAGAAAGCAATTAACAAGGCAGCTGCTGACCTCCCAACTAAGGAGAAAAGGAATTCAGTGGGGGTGGACTGTCTAGCAGTTGTACAAAGGAAAAACAGCAGAATCCTGATGGTGGGAGTCAGTCTAAGAAATATCAGTGGGGAAAAGCACACCAGAAATGAAGCAGTCAGAAGCAGTAAGCCCATGAATGAGCACAGCAGCAGAGAAGGAAGAGGGGAGATGATGTGGTATTCAGCAGTATTGAAAAGGAGCAGTACTGAAAACAAAAGAAGCAAATCAGTAAGGCTAAAGGAAAGAGCCATTTTTCAACCAAAAATGGAATCCATTAATATTTTTTTTATCATTAGAGTTACATGAGAAAAGACACTGGAAAATGTGGTCACTGCAAACAGTGCAGCAGCAATTACAGCCCATTTGTCAATAGCTGGAGAAAGAAACTTAGAGACGACTGTGCAATAAAATGTATGGTTTTTCATAGATAAGCTTCCAATAGCTTCTACTGCCTAATGACTATGTCAAGTGAAAAGACAACTTATTTCTAAAGGAGAGGTATTAATTAAAAAAAGAACTTTTGTCAGGTAAAGGAAGAAATTCCCCATTGAAAGTTGTACCTGCTCCCTGAATCTCAAATAAAAAAGTAACCAAGATTCCTCTGTATTCTCCTTGCATTCCAAGACTTAGGATGAGCTTGGACCACAATGATCTCTGAAATAACTACAATAATCTCTGCCATTTCCAAACTTCAAAAGGTGGTATCTGTTCTATACCCTCACTGTCTTGGTTGATACTGTCTTTAAATCTCTGCTGACAACCTTCCTGCTCTGTACTGTTTCCCTTTGCCATGTTCAAAAAAATTAAGCAATATAGCCGCAAAGTCATCAATACAACAACTTTGAAAAGAATAGAAACATTGATTAGCTGCAGGAAAGCTCAATTTTTAAGGCAGATAACACTATTTTTCAAACAGCATAAGAGATGAAAGCACTGCTCTATAGTATTCACTCACTTGTTGCATTTGTATCTGTTTTGACTTTCTTCCTTCCTTGACTCTGTGGCTTCTTCTTCTTTTGTTTTGCCTCTCTTTCTTTTTCATCATCACTGAAGTCCAAGGCCTAGTTTAAAAAAAAAAAAGTAAAACAAAGGTATATAAAACAAACAAACAAAATAATGCAGATCATTTCAGATATTAAAATCATTATTTAGAAAATAATCCATCCTGCAGTCAGCTGAGAAGAATGTTGCCAATGCACTCTGATATTGTGCACTGAAAGAGCCACTGTATTCAGCTGGCTCCTCAACACAATCAGGAACTCAGCATTCCAAATATGGCATTCCAAATACAAATACTCAGAAAGCAGTTACACAATTCCCAATTATACCTTGCAATTTTCTTAAAAAGCAGCAACGTTCATACACCAAACACTTGTGGTTTTTATCATCTTGAGTGAAAAACAAACTAAAAAAACGCAAACAATTTTTCGTGTGCTTCTTCCACAGCTTATTGCTGAAAGTGCAGTGAAGATTCTAGGAACATGCAGACAATTTAACAGAAATCTTGGAAAGATTCTATTTTACTCTTCAAAATACATTCCAGCAAGTAATGGATTTACATAGTTTTCACCAAAACTAAGGGGAAAAAAGCAGCAGCTCAGTGAATCTGGCCAGTAATTATTACTAAAAAGCTTGCAAAAGTGTACAAGTTCACCTATGTGTGGTGTAGGTGAATTATGGGTTTCCATCATAATTTATTTTATGACAGCTGTTAGATTTATGACTCAATTAAATTTAACTTCATGAAAATCAACCAAAAAAAATACAGATATATTGACTAATGATATTGCTCCTGTTAAACTTTCATAAACAACATTATTCCCAAAGAATTTTAAGGTGAGAAGAACATCATCATTTACAACAATCTCACTGCAACTTTGTTCCTTTCATGTGAGGGTTTGCTTCCTTTAGAGCAAAGACAAAATTATTCATGTTAGGAAAGAACTCTGTCAGTAACTGAAGAGCTTTTTTTAGTGACTTAAGGGGGTAGGGCTTGTGCTCCTTACTCCCCCTCCCCCCTACTTCTGAAAGGAAGAACAAGCAGCAAAAATTATGTATTATCTTAGTACATTCAGAGCAGACATAAAATATGGCACTGATACAGTGGTGAAAAAAGCTTCTTAGAAGTCAATTCTGAATATAACCATTTCCCCCTCTGCGTAATTAGATTACACTCTAAAAGAAATATAATGATATATACCATGAATCATGGAATCACAGAATGGCCAGGGTTGGAAGGGACCTCAAGGATGACGAATCTCCAACCCCCTGCCACACGCAGGGCCACCAACCTCCACATTTCATAGCAGCCCAGGCTGCCCAGGGCCCCATCCAACCTGGCCTTGAACACCTCCAGGGATGGACGGGGCATCACAGCCTCTCTGGGCAGCTGTTCCAGCACCTCACCCCTCTCTCTGTAAAGAACTTCCCCCTGATGTCCAACCTAAATCTCCCCTCCCTCAACTTAAAACCATTTCCCCTTGTCCTGCTGTTATCTCCACTTTCAAAGAGTTGACTCCTCTCCTGTTTGCAGGCTCCCTTTAGGTACTGAAAGGCTGCAATGAGGTCACCCAACAGCCTTCTTTTCTCCAGGCTGAACGAGCCCAGCTCCCTCAGCCTGTCTTCATACAGGAGGTGCTCCAGTCCCCCGGTCATCCTCGTGGCTTTCCTCTCCAACAGTGTTTGTTAACTTCTATTTTTTCTAAATAATGGAGTAGACCATCCTTGAGTGGAACAGAAATAACAAATAAGTACTTTGTGCTGCTAGCTGCTTTTCGTTGGACATCCTACAGAAGCTACCTCAAAGACATCAGTTACCTACTCTTTCTGGCCTCACAGCAAACAGATTACAAACTATCATCCTCCTACCTCAAAGACGAGGCCTAGACAAACCATACTGAGTCTAGACTTCAACAAGCTGCTGAAGGAGGAATACTTAGTCCACACCTTCAAAAAGGTGCCAAGCATAAAAGGCCTAAAACACATCCATTTAAGACTTGTGCAAAAACAAACCTTCACAGCAACACAAAAAGAACCGACTCCAGCACTTACATGCAGCTCATGATGCGAGTCTGCCAGACAAGCTTTAGAATCAATTGGCAGCACAAGGCTCTGAAAGAGTCTGGCTGTGTGAGACAATTTCAAGCATCAGTAGCATAAAATTTCATCTGCACCCTCGTCAACGTTTACTGTCTTGAAAGCAGAAGCTGCTTTCTACCATCTCATTAGCTGTCACAGTCTGCTTATCTTGCTGCAAACTGTAACTGCTAGGACTGCACAGAGCCTAAGGATTACAACATGTTAGATGTGTTTTCCACGAAACAGCACACATGGACAACAACAGAACAAACACAAAGGTGTCACAAAAAGCAACTAAGTTGCCTATCCTTGCCATTACTGATTTCTTTCAAATCTTCTTCCTTCATTCCTATAGTGAAGAACAATAAATAAAGCTCCCTCAGTACTTTCAGATTCCAATGCTCAAAGAGACCAGTATTATCTTAATAAAAACATCTCTTAATAAATAAATACTAACTTCAGGAAAAGCAATGAATCCTTATCTGTAGAAGACTTGATTGTTTCACTATACATAGCCACATTTTTGAAGTTACTCAGGTACCCATAAATTCAAGCAAGCATTTACATACTTATCTCCTGAACAGCATTAGAGGCATGACTAAGAAACAACAGAAGAAATCAAGGCAGTATTTCAAGATCCATTGTACATCATACTAGAAGAAACAACATTCTGGGATGTTGTGTGATGATGTATCAGTCTGTCATGTCTTCAAACGTTACAAAAGCTTGAAAGGCTTGAGCCACATCCCTCCTTCAAGCCAGAAAATCTGGCTTGAGATAAGGACTGTGAATGCAGCATTGGTTAGAATACTAAGAAAAAGACCCCACCCAAAAAAACTAACAAAACAAAACTGCAGTAACAATTCAAGCTTTCATAAATTACAGAAAAATCAGCTAGGCAGATCTTTTCACAATACTGCTCAGGACAGCATTTTAGCTATTCTGGATATAGCAGTCTGAAAGCAGAAGCTGCAGGGTAAAACAGTGCAAGCTTTGAGCTAGAAAACTATCTCACAAAAACACATCAATATGTTCCTATTACAATAAAGAGCAGTCATGAGGAGTATAGTTTTAGTGGAATTAAGGAGCACTGGACAGAAAGCCTGAGTGCCACTAAAGAAAACTTTAAGAGATTCTACAGTAAGCAATGTCATACAACTGTCATGAGAAACCCTCACTTGTATGGAAGAAGCTTAAATCTCAGGAAGCTAGCCTAGCATTTTATAGTAAGAAACAGTAAAGAAACCTCATCAAGGAGCCATTCAAATAATGCAACAGAAGAGGTGTTAAATTAAGAGATGAACATCCAACACTGCAGGGCACTAGGAGACCTTTACATATAGACAACTGTTTACTTGCAAGATCAAGCTGCAGTAAAAGAACAGCAAGTACAAGTCCCTAGCAGACATAAAAATATAAGGCAAGACAAAAGCACTGCTACTCAAAGTTGGTCATTTAGATTGACAAACATACTCCTGAAGAAATGGAGGTACTGAAAATATGTATTTTCAATTCAAAAAGGAAGTTAAAGAAGAGGACAAGATCTCTCTACAGCAATTGTTGGGCCTATCTTACAAAAGCAGATTCACTTAACAATGAAGGAAAGAACAAGCATTAGTTACTCTGCACAGAAATTTGTCTTTATTTCCTGCAATCAAAAACAATTTAAAAAAGCAATAGTTACCTCAGGTGGTGGTTCCTGATCATTCTTCCAAGATGCATCTGACCCTTTTTCCCTAAAAGAAAAAAAAAAAAAAAAAAAGACAATCATTTTATTTGTAAAGTAAGATTAACATATGTTAACTTAGAACTTTACTACATACACCACTTGAAAAACCCTCCTCTTCTGAGTGGACTGAACACATTACACAGCTAATATTAAGCTCTGACTTAGGTCAAACTTTCTTGCCCAACAACCAAAACAAATTTTCAAGTAGTACCAGTTTTTTCCCAACCACCACTTCAAGATAAAGGTGCCTTGAGTGAGAGCTAAAGGTGCTTACAGCAAGAGTGGGGTTGGTCTCTTCTCACCGGTGACAGGACGAGGGGAAATGGCCTCAAGTTGTGCCAGAGTAAGTTTAGGTTGGATGTCAGGAAACACTTCTTTACAGAAAGGGTTGTGAAGCACTGGAATGGGCTGCCCAGGGAGGTGGTTGAGTCACCACCCCTGGATGTGTTTAAGAACCGTTTGGATGTGGTGCTCAGGGACATGATTCAGCAGAGGGCTGTTAGAGTTAGGGCAGCATGGTCGGGTTGTGGTTGGACTCGATGATCTTTAAGGTCTCTTCCACCCAAAGCAATTTTATGATTCTATGATTCTAAGAACTCCAATAAATAACATTTAAATAGCTTCCTTGATAAATAGCAACTTTATGGAACAAGCTTAAAATTATGCTGTTTAAGACTGCAGAACACACTCCTCCTAAATTTAATATATTTTGTTCTGAAACGTTGAGACAATCTTTATTTATGCAAAGTATATAAAATCCTGAAATGGTGAAAATTATTACTTGCAAAATGGAACCAGATGTTTACAAGGTGTTCTATGTTATCAGCACTCTAATTGCCAAGGGTTGTTATGTTAGAAACAATCAGGCAGCAGCAGCAAAGTACAGGGCAGCCAATGACACCAGGCAGCCTTGCGCCTCAAGCCCTAAAACTAAAGCTCAATCTTTATGCATCACTAGAAAACCAGAAAAACTGCACTTTCATCATTCCAGCAAATTCTGGAATGCAAACCATTATAAAGTTTCATTAACAGGAACTGTTACAGGAAAGGCAGGATAATAAGAACTTTCTATATGATTAATTTCTTCTAGCTTGCAGATAACACTCTACTTAGGCAATAAACACATTGCTTCTCCTCATTAACAACAAGCTTCTTTGTTTCTCCTTCTCATCTTGTCATTTCAGGGTAATAAATGCCTTCCAGAAATACCAGAGCACACATAAAACTCCAAAACCTGTGATCATTAGGCACTATGCAAGACTCAGTTTTCGAAGTTAACAGTCTTAAAACTTAAGCTGTCTGATGAACAATTATTTGAAGTCTGCCAAATCACCCTTCATGATTCCACCAAAATAAACATTTTTCATGCTTTATTTAATTACCTCTTGCAAATAATAGTCCATCTTAGATTTCTGAATTCAGATACTTTCAAGATCTGAAAGCCTAAAAGGTGGCTCGGAGGAATCATGGAAATACATGAGCCTGTTTAGAATTATTCCATGCTTCAGGCAATGCAGGCAAAAACCCACAGTTTTTAGCAACTTATTACATTGCATTCAAGAAGTTTTATACTACCCACTGAATAATGGCACTTCCATCTATTTTACTTGAAGTGTAAGACTTATTCATGTCAATGCAACTTTGTGCAACGCAAGCAAATCGCACACCAGATCTCCAAAGTGCTTCAAAGGCAAGGTGTATTTCAGATCTCAATCCTGTTTACTTCCCTTTTCAAGATACCACCACAGTTTTGGGTAGCATTTCAAAAACTTCAGGCTCATCCACAGAGTCCAGAAAACTAACAAAAAGCAGACATCCAAGTCACCGAATTCGCAGTCTATTAAGGTCCAAAAGCCCTGCTGTGTGTGTGGCATTGATTGAAGCTCAACTTCCCTATTGTGTCATCTTGGTTTCTTTATGCAGATCCAGTAGCAGACATAAGACATGAAAATTGTTCATCGTTTTCCACTTGACATGACCAACCCTACCTGCCTTGTGAAAAGGTAGCGTCAACAAGATGTATCAATTATGTCACAAAAGCTTAAGAACCTTCCCTGAGAAAAATGAGGAATTACAGAAAAACAATAATCCATGAAGTACAATATTGCAGACTACTAATGACACTACTCATTTTTAATGCAAGGCAAGAAACAAAGTCTGGCACACCGTTCATTTGCCATTGAGATGTGGAAGTGCAAAAACTCTTAGCTAGTGTTCAATTTTGTACCATACATGAGAGAAAAGTTCTACTGAAAGACAAACAGCTCCCAAAACTACTTGCAAAGCATGCAAACTAAAACACAAGCCAGCCATCTCACATGCTGAGTATGGACTTCAGTTATAAATGCAGAAAGCAGATGCCTCAAGTGTGTGCAGTTACTGTGCTAAGCAACAAAGTTTAGCAGCACAAATCAAACACCAGCTGGCATCCAAAAGCTGCAGAAAAAGCAAAGCAGCAGCACAGTGATACTATATTTTTAATGGTACTCACTAAAAGTGAAAAAATAAAGTTTAAACATCTGTTGCTTCCACAGGGAAAAATAAACAAAAAGAAAAAAAACACCCCTGCAGATACTCAAGGTGCAACTAAAGCAGACAACAAGCATTATCTTTTTCTTTTTATGAAATAAAAGGTCAGATGAGAAATAATACTAACAGAGACTAAGTCACGTGTGACAGACTTCCAAAGTATAGTTGCTTCAGGCAATTCATCAATAATTAAGATAATTAATGTTCAGCAGTCCACTATTACCCCTTATTTCTTAATCCTTACCTTTCAGTCTTTTATCATTTGAACGGCAACAAGTCCTGTTATTATACAGTCAGTGGATAAAAGAAGAGCAACCGACAACAACTACCTGAACTTGTGCAAAGCATTTAACACTGTCCCGCATGACATCCTGGTCACCAAATTGGAGAAAAATGGATTTGATGGATAGAACACTTAATGGAAAAGAAATCGGTTGGATGGTCACACTCAGTGTTGTGATCAATGGCTCGAAGACCAACTCGAGACTGGTGATGAGTGGCATTTCTCATGGATCAATGTTACTTAACATCTTTGTAGGCAACACGCACAGTGGGATCAAATGCACCCTCAGCAGGTTTGCAGATGGCACCAAGCTGGGTGTAGTTGACACACTAGAGGGAAGGGATGCTATCCAGAGAGACCTGGACAGGCTGGAGAGGTGGGCCCATGCCAACCTCATGAAGCTCAACAAGGACAAGTGCAAGGTCCTGCACCTGGGTAGGGGCAACCCCAAGCACAGATAAAGGTTGGGTAGAGAATGGCTTGAGAGCAGCCTTGACATGGTTGCAGTGAGTGCTTGCAGCCCAAAAGGTTACCTGAATTCTGAGTTACATCAAGAGAAGATGACTAGCTGGTCAAGGGAGATGATTCTGCCCCTCTGCTCTGCTTTAGTGAGACCTCCCACCCGGAGTACTGCTTCCAGTTCTCAAGTCCCCAAAACAAGGAGGACATGCAGATGTTGGAGTGGGTGCAAAGTAGGGCCACAAAGATGATCAGAGGGCTGGAGCACCTCTGTTATGGGGACAGGCTGAGAGAGCTGGAGGTCTTCAGTCTGGAGAAGAGAAGGCTCAAAGGAGACCTTATAGAAGCCTTCCAGGACCTGAAGGGGGTCTACAGGAAAGCCAGGGAGGGACTTTTTATAAGAGCATATACCAACAGGATGAAGGGAAATAGCTTTAAATGGAAGAAGATAAATTCAGACTAAATATTAGGAAGAAATCTATATGAGGGTGGTGAGAAACTGGAATAGGTTGCCCAATCAGGTTGTGGATGCCTCTCCCTGCACGGGGCTGTGAGCAACCTGATCTTGTGGGAGGTGCCCCTGCCTACAGCAGGGCTTGGACTAAGCAATATTAAAAGGCCCTTCCCAACCCAAACCACTGAATAATTCTATTTGCCTCAGGCAGGCAAACACTACTGGTTTTAAGTTGAGGGAAGGAAGATTTAGGTTGGATGTCAGGGGGAAGTTCTTTACAGAGAGAGCGGTGAGGTGCTGGAACAGCTGCCCAGAGAGGCTGTGATGCCCCGTCCATCCCTGGAGGTGTTCAAGGCCAGGTTGGATGGGGCCCTGGGCAGCCTGGACTGGTGTGAAATGGGGAGGTTGGTGGCCCTGCATGTGGCAGGGGGTTGGAGCTTCGTGATCCTTGAGGTCCCTTCCAACCCTGGCCATTCTGTGATTCTGTGATATTGAAAAGTTTCTGATCATCATCCCCCCAACAAAAAACACCACCAAAATGAAGCAAGTCATTTCCAGACAGAACTGTTCTTCTCCACCTGCTTAAGACTTTTTTTTTTTTTTTTAATTAATTAAGTTTCAGTTCTGGCCTTGTAATTGAAAATAGTAAATACCAGCTTGTTCAGAATTCACACAAGTTTATAGAAAGGATTAAACCACATTAAGCTACAAAACTTCTGAACAACAAAATGCAAGAGAGTTCATCTTGCCAAATTCATCCAGAGGGTGCAGGTATGAAACTAGTTTTTTGTTCTTGTACAAAATAACCTAATTTTGGTTATGGTATTTGTTCAAGAAAATAATAAAAAGTATTAAATTGAATGAAAATCTATCAAACCTCATTAACTGTAATGCTTTAGAAGCTTGCAGTTGTTCTGTACTTGTCTGAAAATCTGAACTGTTATACAACCCTGTTATTACAACACAGTTGAGAATAACTAGAAATGTTAGCAGAGTCCTGTAGTTTCTCACTCAAGCCTAACTTTAATTCATAATTCTCAGCTATGTAAAGTAACACATTAAAGAAATGCATTATAAGCAGATCAGAAAAATAGGACTCACTGTTGTAGTTTCTCTGCAAATATGTACTGGGTGAAGTCCTCCACTGATGGAGCAAAGTACATGCTGTCTTGCACATTAATACCTTTTGCTTTAACATGTTCAGAGCTGTTAAACCTTAACACGTAAAAGGGATGTTGAACAGGACCAAACACCTCAAATACCTGAAACACAAAATTTAAGTAAATGACCACGTTAGATGCTCACCTCACTGTACACAACTCCAAATCTTTAAGACACTTCGTATCTAGGAATCTGGAAGTGTTTTTAAATTGCAGCAAATGAAGTTACCTTCATGTCATACCCTTATTACTGCTCTTTTTTGGCAATGTGTTTCCCTAGCTACTGTAAGTCATAAGTTTTTTCATGTTGATTTCACCTTCATCCATTCAAATGCACTGCCTTCAATGTCAACTTCCTTTACTTCAGTCATCATTACCTTTGTTAGTCCCCTGATTTTCTCTATTTTGCTTTCAAATCTGAACAGCTCAGTAATCTCCTGATTGCTTATTTCTAAAATTTCCTCTCTACAAGATGCCTTTATGTTAGTTCCAATGCCCATTCAGTCACTCCACGGAGAGAATTCTGATTGATACTGCATTGAACACCTACAATTTCATGCTAGATATCTCTGTATTCCACTCAAATCTAGCACAGACAGATGTTATGGCAGTGTTAGTTCCACACGATGGCTTTCTTTCTACAGAAAATATACAAAATTCAAAGCAACACTGTTCCCTGCAAACATTCTTCATCACAGTCACATAAAGCACACGTGGGCCTAAGACTACAACATCAGAGCACAGCTACACAGACATTCCCCACATTTCCTATAAGTCAACAGAAATTCTCCTGGCAATAAAAGAACACAGCTTATTATTGAAGATATCTAATACCTGAAAGCAACCACATGCATGTTCATCAAATGGCAGAAATCCAACACACTGTAATTCCAGAAGAATGCAATTAATTCCAAGATGGAATTCTTGAAAGTAAGAAACCTAAATGATGCTAACAAGAGTCAAACCCACAAGGAAAAGTCGTGTATCAAGGAAGCATTACATTTAGATGACTTGGACAGTATATTATGTTGAAACATAATAGCTTGAATTTAACACTAGAATAAAAGGTCATCATGCTTTACACACACATACCTTTCCTGCTGCTTGTCGATCTCCTTTAAAAATTATGCTTTCCTCATTTATTGGAGGTAGGCCTCTCAGAGATTCAACTATTACTAAAATAGAAAACAAAACCAAATAGAACTTTAAGTTGCAACAGCAGTATGAGTTAACTGCAGGGAAATACAACAAATCACACAATAATTTACAAAGCAAACACACAGAATCAGCAAATGGCCTGGGCTGAAAAGGACCACAGTGCTCATATAGTTTCAACCCCATGCTGTGTGCAGGGTTGCCAACTGCCAGACCAGGCTGCCCAGAGCCACATCCAGCCTGGCCTTGAATGCCTGCAGGGATGAGGCACCCAAAACCACCCGTTCCAGTGTGTCACCACCCTCTGTGTGAAAAACATCTGCGCTTCTCCGAGAAATTCTCATCCACACACTGAAATACTTACAATCATTAAGTCCTTCCCCTGTGATGGCATGACAAAGTTTGCAGAATTACTGCTCTCAAGAGATGAAGAGACTTCCTTTTTGCACCTAACACTTATGGAAAATACTGTTGCAGTTGCCCAGGTTGTTTTTTAACTGAGTGCACAGTAATTTTTTCTATCTTAAATTGTACGTACATGTAAGTTTTCTTCTGCCCTCTTAGTATTCCACAATAAATTTTCCCCAGAAAAGAGAACAGAGACAGCTGTTTATCCTCTTAGTAACTAACAGAAAGCAGGCAAGAACACAAAAGATGCCCAGCAGACCAGTCACAGTAGCATTATTGACATGTGCAGGCACACAGTTTGAAATTTCTGCACTTCCAGGTCACATAATAGATCCATACTACATTTGGGCCCAATTCATGATAAATGATGGTATAAGCAGCCAGATGGTGCAGGTTGTTTCAGTACCTCCAAAAATGAAACATCTGAAAGACTTGAACACTTACAAAAAGACACAGAAGTAAACACCTCATGTATTAAATAATTTGATACATAGGCTATGAATGAATTTCTTTTTTCTGTTTTCCAGACTCAAAGGGCCCATTCTTTGAAGAAACTTTTAGAATCATTTACTCTCACCTGTTTTCTGCTTATTTCTACTGCATTAGGCAACAGAAATATTCAGTCTTGACTTTCAGCAGGAACAAAACTTAAAGATGTCAAGAAAAACAGCAGCATTAAACTCAATTCTGATTCTGAAGGTAATCTTCTCCACCCTAAAACATAATGCTCAATTAAGCATTATCCATGCCTCTCAATCAAAGTCATTCAAGCACTGCCAACATAAGACTTTATCAAAAGCTAATTAAATTCTCTCTTCTAAACTTACATAATAGAATTTACAAGAATTAAATGCTTCTCCAAGCTATGCTCTTCAAGTTTTGCTCTAATTTAAGTTTGCAGACATCTTGTGATGTGACAAACAACAGTGCTACACACTGAATAGTTCAGTGAATTTAGGCAGCGAGGGAAATACACAGTGGAAGAACTGAATGTGTTGCTTAATCCCCACTGGGAATATACCTGAGCAATAGTTCAGCAACACAGACTCACAGAATTGTTTGGGTTGGAAGGCCCTTTAAGATCACCTAGTTCCAAACCTCTGCTACAGGCAGGGCCATCTCCCACTAGACCAGGTTGCTCACAGCCCCATCCAGCCTGCCTTGAATGCTTCCAGGGAGGAAGCATCCTAAACCTCACTGGGCAACCTGCTCCAGTGTCTCAGCACTCTCACACTAAGGCATTTCTTCTCAATATCTATTTAAAATACATCTTCTCCCAGTTCAAACCTATTTCCCCTTTTATTATCTGTACTTGCAAGAAGTTTCTCCCCAACTTTCCTAACTATTGTTTCAGCAGAAAGCCATCTTTACTATGAACGAGAAAGAACAAGTAGAAAAACAGGACAATCAATGAAGAAACCACCACCTTCAGCCAGCCTCTGGTACATGAATGAGATTAATCCTAAACCAGTGCAGCAGAAAATTGTTGTCAAGGAACTGCCTGTATTACCTAGAGTCTTTTATGATAAAAGGAATTTTAACAGCAAACGTTATTTACTTCAATTTGTTTGTTTCCTACTCAATATAAATGCACTGTTTTTAAACTCACTTCACAAGGAAATTGCTTTAAAAGCAATTCAAACAGCACAGAGCACTTCAAGTAAGTTTAAGACAAATAACAGTATAGAAGTTTCAACAACATCAACTTTCGCAAATCTTATTTCACATGCCTCATAAAGGCCATCCAGCTGAAAGTACTCAATACAAATGTCATCCAGTATCTTGTCTTTACATCTGTTCTCATTCAGAAATCTGCTGCCCCTTTCCTGAATAAGGGCATAGAATCAACAGAAAGGTTTAGCAGTGCTGTGAAACACAACACAGCTGTACTGAAACCTTGGGGTAAGGGTTCACAAACAACTTACGTAGATATATTAGAAATATTTTAATTATTAAAAAAAAAAACCATTTATTTCAACATATCTTGCCTACCTAGCTGCTCAATGATACTGGAAACTGTCCCAAAAGGCTTCAGTTCAACATTATCAGGCAGAATTACAGTTAAATCTTCAACAGGAGGCAGTTCCTGAAAATATCAAGTCATTATTCAGTATAAAGCCACACATTCACCACTGAAATAGATAAAGAGAACACATTTTAAACTATTAACCACATGCTGTATGTCTGAACTAGCGCAAAAGTGTACATTTAATCTCTGTTGGTTTTTTTTCTTCCTGACAATTTAAAAATACATAAAACACTTGAAGTTGAGTTACTAGATTAGTGTTTAAAAAGACACCACTTCTTACTTACATCAAGGGGCAACTCATCCTTTGTTCTAACGCAGTACGTTCTGTTATCCTTCTCATTTGGGTGATCATCGTCATCAGACGCTGCCGAAGGAGAACACGAAGAGGACGATGTAGTTGACGAACTATCCGAATCTGTGTCACTAAATAAAAGAAAAAAAGGAGTTAAAATACAGACCCCTACATTAACATGCTGCTAGATTACACTTTGTGCAACTAGCTTTGGACAGCACACGTTTTCTTAAATACATCCAGTACACAGAAGTGATCTTCCCCTCATTCTAACAAAGCCACCGGACGAGACCATAGAAAAGCATCGCCCGCTCCAAACTCACCTCTCCGAGTCCGAGGTGGCGGCGTGCGGCTCGCTGCGAGCCTCCGCGGGCAGCGGCGTGCAAAGGGGCGCCCCCTCAGCCGAAGGCGCCCCCTCAGCCGAAGGCGCCCCCTCTGCCGAAGGCGCCCCCTCTGCCGAAGGCGCCCCCTCTGCCGAAGGCGCCCCCTCTGCCGAAGGCGCCCCCTCTGCCGAAGGCGCCCCCTCTGCCGAAGGCGCCCCCTCTGCCGAAGGCGCCTCGGCGGCAGAGCCGGCCTCCACCGTCAGGGTCTGCAGCCGCACCACCACCTCCTGCTGCTCCGCCATTACCGCCATTACCCCGCGCGGCTTCCGGCCGGTGAGGGGCAGGGCGCATGCGCAGGAAGCGTGCGTACCTTCGCTTCCCTCTAAGGGCTGGTGTAAAAGGTGCAGCGTTTTAAATTAAATTTACTTAAATGTGGCTGGTAAATTCCGCGATTAGATTGAAGGCGCTAAGGTTTTCGCCTGCGTGAGGCTTCTCCAAAAGGCAGTGCTGGCGTTCCTCTGCAAGGGAGCTCCCTGTGGGCTGTAAGATGTCGCGGTGCTGACAGCATACAGAAGGCATGCATGAGATTAAAAGTCAAAAAAACAAAACAACTTACTGAAAGTTAATAATCTCAAACTATTATAACATCCAGCTCTATATTGGCAATCCTATAATTGTATCTACCTGCACAACACCAAACTTTAACATCATCAAAACGTTCCTCACCACATAAAGGCTTCTGTTATAGGTTTGCCATAAATGCCACTGTTCTGGTATCCATCAGATGCCTCACACAACTTGCTAGGGGTCACTTTTTGACATGCAATGATCCGGCAAACAAGCAGCTTTCCTGTAGGAGAGAAAGAAGAAATTCCTTTTGCCCTCACCAAGCTTAAGAGAGAGCTACTGAGGGCTCTCCCCTATGACAGTGACTGAGGAGATAAAATACATGCCTTACATAGAACATCCATGGAAAAAAAAAAAATAAATAGTAATAATAGCAACCTGAAAAAACAGCTGTGGTCTGGCTCCCAAACAGAGTGTTTTCACTCCCAGTGAACGAATGAATGGCAGAGTGCAAAATTATTCTAAAGGGGAAAATCATAAGTAAAAACTTAAGATACTATGTGGAGAGAGCACAAAAAACAACAACAACAACACACCAGGATTCGAATGATGGTGAGAGGCGGAGGAGGGAGCAGTACGTTTCCCAGTTCAGAAATTCCATGCAATAAACTTCCCCTCCAGCTCCATATAGAGTGCACTCAAACACTTGCTTCTCCTTCAGACTGTCTGGGCAATGTTTAATAAAGAGTCAGACGTGTGCTTCACAAATACAGCAGGCAGGCTAAAGTGAGCATCTGCCAGAAAATGCATCTCTTTTTCTGATTGTTCCATTCTTTATTCACGATGTGTAAAACCAGATGCCATGTGAGATTAGTAGGAAAATAAAATCTATACAAAAGCGTGTTTTTATTTACAGCTAGCTAAAATAAATATATAGGCTAAGCAGGATAGACATGTTGAGAACAGTTTCCACAAGAAGTTGAACATCACAAGCACCTAGCATTTTTTGTACTGTATTAAGCGAGGTGCACATATAAAGACCTGTATAAACAGCGGGCAGATACAAACTCTGCCATTGCACAATTACTCAGAACACCTTGGTTAGGAATTGTAATGCTATAACGGGATGGAAAGCACTGCAATAGTAGCAGGGTGGCAAAGCCATCAGTTGCAGCAAATAAGCAGCCCAAATGCAGCAGCCGTGAACACAGAAATAAAGGAAAAGAGCTACTAACCTGTGGAAGGCCTCTAGAAAGCAGAAATCTCCAGCAAGATACCCTTGCCTCCACTGCCAAGCCTGAAATGAGATTTGGAAAGGAGTGGATCCTGGCTCCAGCCCTTCCAGTCATTCAGCTACATTGCATGCACCTGAGCTCCCCTGGGTTGGCCCTGCTTTCCCACTAGGTGCTCTGTCACTGTTTCAGGCCATGACTTATCATTTCTGCTATAGGAATCTTTTCCATTGACTACATTGAGGTCCTGAAGTATCTAAAGCATATGGTCGAAGTATCACTGCCCTGTACTGTATGCTCTATAATAAAAAGGATCTATGGAAAATCATACAAGGATGATGCACAAGAATTAAATATTGCATGTTCATAAAATTGTTTTATATTGAATCTCAGTGGCAAATATGTTCTCATCCCTGATAAAATGAGTGTGTATATATAGAAGCAGAGGCAGAAACCTACTTAAACCCAATGCCACAAAAATTAATCCTATAGTTGTTTAATTTAAAAATAAAGGAAGAGAAGATTGTTATTATTTTGAGGGGGTTTAAAATTTATTTTCTTCGCTTTTCAGAACTGAGACCGGAGAGTTACCTGACACAGACTTCCGTGGAGGATTTGTGAGTTTATGTGAGGAAGCTGGTTAGTGAGGCTGGGAGGGAGTTATTTCCCAAAGCAGACAAAGCTTTATATGCACCAAATCATTTCCTAGCAAGAGGTATAATAATTGGTGTTAAAATGGGGCAGATGTAGTTGAGTAATGAGGTAATGAAAATTAATTTTATTTGCTACATATAAACTTCTTATCAATGCAAAAGCATATTCAAGTTTCCACTCGCCCTTACATAAGTAAAATCATTCAGCTGTCACAGTTTGTCTTTCCTGCTCTTTAAAGTGTTTTAGTTAAGTGTTTTGTAGTTGTACACTGGCAACTAGATTGTGTTTTGACAGATTCCTCCATATTCATGCAGAACTCACTGCATTTTTCCAACAAGAAGATTCTTCATTTCATCTAAACACTACAGCTTAGCCTCTATCGTATAAAATAGCGTTTATGTTAGAGTGAGGGTAGTGAACACGAAGTACGGTAAACATCATCATCCTTTCAACCAGGATATTTTTAAGTAATCTTTGATGTAGCAACACAGGCATGAAGATGTTCTGTGAAAAGAACAATTTCATAGATGAACGCTTGAATCACAGTAGCAGTAAAACTAATTTTCAGGATTTAGACAGTGAAGAAATATTACTGCTAGTAGTGGAATTCAACGTCAGCTGTCAAGGCAGGGCTAAACATGACTGTAGGCCTGTTTTCTGCCTGCAATTTCTTTGATGAAGCTCTCTGGAGGTGTTGTTTTCTAGATTTGTTTGATAGATTCCTGCTGCTAAGACAGGTGTGTATAATTGTCTCCATCAGACTTTTAAAGCTAAAATGACACCGCTCAAATTATTATTGTGTGTTATTAATTTCCTTGGTTGCAGTTGAAGAATCAGTTAAAACACATAGCTTAATCCCAATATTCCTCCTGGACTTGAAGGTTGAAAATTGCTTGGAGGTTTCAGTATACTGTTTTTTATGCCTTCAGTGGAAAATAAATTTTACAAACAAAAAAAGCAACACATGATGAAGAAACTGTGTTTCCTAATCTACCTGAAACGTGGAACCCAATACTGTTGTGACGTTTATCATTTGTGTGTTTTATGCTTTCTTATTCTAGTCAATCATGCACATAGATTAAATGCAGTATATGAACACTGTACTTTAATTAATAGAGGGAGCACAGTGAATTTGAAAAATACACTTCTGAAAATATTTTTTCCTAATTTTTAGATCAATTTATTTAGGTCGTCTGGCAGCATTTTGTGCATAATTAAATTCAGTGTTTCATCTCCATAATCAGCAAACTTAGATCTTCCTTGAGATTCTTGTGTCAATTAAGAATTATACTTTTCTAATTAAATATGAAGGAAGTGAAAGAATACCCTGGAAATATTGTTTCAAAGCTGTATCAGATCAGAATCTGAAAGGGAGTTACAACAGTCCTGATGGTTTCACCTTCCATATACTCTTCCTTTTCTTATTACCTCTAAATTTACCTCTCACCCAACTATAGCTTTATTAGCTGACCTGCAGTCAGCTCATAGTAACAGATTGCTCCTCACTGCTCTGAATACAATCTCTGAGAAACATGAGGCCTGGGAATTCTGCCTACACATTCAGAGGCGGTGCAGGAATGGATTCAAATATAATTTTGTTTCCTTCTTACCAAATATCCTGGGATGGGTCAGAGGAAACCCTTCAGATGATCATTTCTTCTTCTCATTACTGTTTCGGGTCAAGAGATCTCTGAAATTCTGTTAGCATTGATTCAAGTATAAAATTTGCACTGAAGAACGAAATCGCATCACCAAACATGCTTTCACATAGGCAGATGTTTAAAAAAAGACTTTGGCCTTTTCATTAGGGCTGGTCAGAGAAGAACGTACTGCTCCTTCACAGGATGCGAGCACATACAGCTTGTCAGCCTTCAGCTTAGGACAGCAACAGTCCCTCTGCAAACATAGGGAGAAAAGAGAGAGAATGTCTGAATTTGATGAGTACAGAAATAACAGTACTGCAAAAAGCATTTGATACTCATAAAACTGCAGCCACCATATCAAAAATTCACATCTATATGTGTGCTTGCTTCAAGTTGCTCCTTAGATTTTCCCCAAGCGGTCCAGAGCAAAAGGATGGCACTTCACATACCTCCTTATAATGCTTACCTTTTTAAATTGATAAAGGAAAGCAAATTGTTCTTCAGTCCCTGAAATTGCTTTCATTCTTACCTACAAAAATAGGTACCTACATGAGCTGAATGCCTTGTAAAATGACCAGCAGTTTTGAACGCTGACATCTGAATTGTCACACTGACATCTGAGAGTAATTACTCCAGGAAACTCAACAGATAGCTTTGAAACTTCCTCGGAATTCTGTTTGCAGACTCTAAAAAAAAGAAAAAAGAACCCTCAGAAAACTATTTTTTGCTATTACAAGTAGTTGTCTTAAGCTGCATATGTACTCCATCCTCTGCAGAACTGGCAACAGAAAGACTAACTTACTATATCTCCTACCAAACAAGGTCAGAAAGAAATGACAGTTTCTAGTCTCTCTTGTACTGGACGTCCTTGGTAATACAGCCATATAAATTCATGCCAACTTGCAGGGAAGGTTCTGTCCAAGAATGGTTGGCTGCTCTTATGGAAGACAGGATATTCATCATTTCTGGTAGTAATGACTGTAGAGCCTGTTTGCCATTATATTCATGTTGCTTCTCACACATAGTCAATTTTTAAGGGGAAAGTGTAGCCTTACATTTGCAACAATTTTGAAAATACTGCTCAAATCTCAGCATTTTTTCCACCCATGAGTTAAACTACTGCAAGGGAGATTGAGATATTCCTGGTCAGGAACAGTGAAAGGAGAAGAAATCAGATTAACAGAACTTTTTGTATCACTGTTGCTA